GCGGCTCTCGCCGCAACCGAGGATCACCAGTAGCCTGGATCGTCGTGATAGATCCCGGGAGCGCGCCTCTACCCAACAGATTCCCAGGGATCTCGGACGCTCTAGTTCTGATGCACCGAACGAAAGCAGGGACAAATTCCACGATGCAGCAGCTTCAACACCAACGGGGCCAGTGGACGGTGCTCAGAAATCGGCTCATATATCTACAGATGACCAAAGGACGGATAGCCATATGCGGCGGACAAGCCCAGTTGGCATGTCAGACACTTTCGATGGCGGAGATAATATAGGCACCACCACTCTGATCAATAGTAGAACTGTTGCCAGTCCAGGACCTATCGAGGAGCCCGATCCCATAGACAACGAGACATCGCGCCACAGAGAGGAAGATGTCATGATGGAGGATGGGAACAAAGCCTTCTCCTATCCAGTCCCAATGCCCGCATCAAACATGAACGATTCCCGAAGAGGAATGAGTTTACCGCATGCAGGCTTAAACAAAGGAACTCCACGTTCTCCATCCGCAAAGAAACACAGATGCCACCATTGCGCAACGGAATTTACGCGTCATCATAACTTGAAGAGTCATCTACTTACCCATAGTCAGGAGAAACCATACGTTTGTCAGACGTGCCAATCACGGTTCCGACGATTACACGATCTGAAGCGCCATACAAAACTCCACACCGGAGAGCGCCCGCATATCTGCCCAAAATGCGGACGTCGATTTGCTCGAGGCGATGCATTAGCACGACATAACAAGGGCCAAGGGGGTTGCGCAGGGAGACGGTCTAGCTTGGGTAGTTTCCTTGGCGATGATGAATACGGCGACGGAGGCGGCGCGGGTGGCGAAAATGGGATGGAGGGCCTTATGTACACTGAGCCAGACCGCATGGATGAGGAGGATGAGAAACGCCTAAACATGCCCAGTATCAAAAAGCACAACCCTCCAGATTCTGACCCACGGTCATCAAGCACTAGCGGTGGACACGTATCATTCCAATCGCACCAAGCAAGCACCTACCCGCCATTAGCAGCCGGAAGAACCTCCCAAGGCAGCCTCTTCCCACCCGTTACCAGTCACCCTGGCTCAAGCGCATCGCCATCTCCCATCTCACAATCCGGGACTCTATCCTTTCCTCCTGGGGCCGGGAGCGGTTCATCATCGAGCCTCAATGCGCACCACCAGCAACAACCGCAAAGCAGCTCAACTTCTGTCTTCGCGCAGAGCAATATCAGTGAAAGCCCCAAACCACTATCACCAAACGTCCTCCCCACACGTCAATTCAGCCATGGGCCGGAGCACAATGCGCAGTCACATTCGCGTGGTGGTGGCCTTTCTCCCAGTTTGAAACCTCAATACCCGTCTCAACAATTCGGACGAAACGGCAGCACCGGGGCTAGTAGCGGACCAGCGCAAATTCTCCCTGCCCCACAACCAGGTGCACCACAACTTCCTCTACCGCATGGCCTCAATAACCCAGACACACGGTTCCCGCTCCATAGTCCTAAGCCCAACCAATCACAACAATCACAATCGCAACAAAGCCTTCACCTGTCATCTCACGCCCACCATCACCATCACCACTCCCAAAACCACAGCAACATCAGTAATAACAGCAATGCAAGTCCAGATCTAAGCAATGTTAATAATAACAATAATAGTAATAATAACCTCTTCTTGCGGCAACGGCAATTATCAACATCATCGCACCACTCCAACACCGCGGGCTCTTCTGCGCCGTCTCCAGATAGGGTATGGTCGTACGTACGCACTCTTGAAGACCGCGTGAATGGTCTGGAAGAAGAAATTGTGCGGCTGCGGGATCAACTTGCTGCAGCTGGCGGCAGTTGTGCTGGAGCTGGAGCTGGAGCTGGAAACGTTGCCAATGGTGCATAGTATACGGACGACACGATGTTTGGTTATTCTGGATGAGGTGGCATGGCGTCTGGGCGGGGGATTTCTCGTATTATCATTGCAATGCCCATGCCATCTGCCTGGGTTTTTTTTTTTTTTTTTCGTCCCATTCTGCCTATCCATGTTGATTGAAACCAATACTTCAATTTCTTTGTTTCTATTATTGCTTCCTTTTTGGACATGTGTGAAGCCAAAAAAAAGAAAAAAAAAACCTTCTGTTTTTCTCACTCTTTTCTATGACATTTTCATTATATATGATGATTAATTACTGTTGTGAGTTGGGAGGACGCAAGCCAATTTTTGTTTATTCTATTTCTATTTTTTATTTTTCAATATGTATTAGCGTATTTTATTTTTGATTATTTTTTTTTTTTTTTTTTTTTTTTTTCCTGCTTCCCTTGCTTGTTCTCCATTCCCTTTATTCATGCCTTTTATTCTCGCTCGATGCTTGCTGTTTTGTTAGCTTACATTATCATGTCCACTCTACCTCATCTCATCTCTCCTTTACAAGCGCTTTGTGTGTAAATGGGTATCCCTCTCTGTGATTCTGCTAGTTGTCACTCCCTCTTTTTCCATCGTCCTTTGTGACTTAAGAAAATGAGAGAAAATACATCAGCAAGAAGAGTTTTTCCCGCCCACCGCGCTCATTACACCCCTTGTTATCTAATATCATTCTCTCTACATTTTTCTCTCAACTCAACCAACTGGGCGGCCCTCTCTTTCTATTAGGTAGCCTGCATCGTTTCGCCTGGCGTATAAATGCCCATGTCTTCCATAGTTTTCCTTTCTCGACGAATTTTAACGTGTGATACGTTTTAAAGGGGAGTGAAATTGGATGCACTCTCTTTCTGTATTTATTGATTTTTTGGTCTATATATATATATCCAAAATAACGTCCATTTTAAGATATAAAACTATGTCATTATTAGGCCCTGTAGTGTAGGCGAGCAAGTAGTGTGCTAGATGGCGGATGGAAATCGGGGAAGGCGAATTGAGCACGATATTGAGGGTTAATAAGTATGCGGTAGTTATAGATTCATTGATTAATCTCGGTAGGTTCTTGCCAGCACTGTTTTCAAAGTAATTTTAATAGGGCCTGCAAGCGCTTTTTGTCTGGCGTATATTCCCTCCCGAGAACAGCACGTTTCAACAAGCATTGTATGAAATATATTCAAATTGATACGCCAGCGTATTTAAACAAACATATTCTCCCGACCTGCTAAACCAGCGGTCCTTCAATTAAGGTTATATACATAAACGTGTCGTTCGACGGGAGACAAAGAGACAAAGCACTGAAAGAGGGTTTCAAGGTAGTAACCACACCCATCATAACCCCAGCTCCAGCACTCGTCCTTCCCCTAAGTACCTACCTACCTCCCTACCTACCTACCTACCTACCTACGCGCCTTCTTAGGTCGTCGCTCGTCGACCCACTTCAGAAACAGCCCCACGTCCTTCGCGATGGCATTAGGGATAGAACTGTGCTGCAGGAACCTAGGAATCCAGCCGCCGGCCTGGGAGGATGTAGCCATTCGCCACTCGATCTTGCCCGGCCCGGCAGCTTCGTCTGCATCTGTGAGAATTCGGACCATCTCAACCGAGACGTATTTCCCCAGAACAGCATTCTTGGGCAAGGGGAGGGCCGGCGGAATGGCTGAGACGTGGATCGGGAGCTGAATGTTTATGAAAACTGAGGGCGTGGTTGACGCGGGGGGTTCCGGTGGAGTAAAGGCCGTGATTACCATGGCGAGGAATACACGCGGAGAGATGACGCTTGCTGGCTGGAAAGTATGGGTTACAAGGGAGACTGGGCGTTCATTAGCCTGAATGATCCGGCAAAATGGTAGAATAATGGGAGTAGGTGAATTGGCTGGAGGAGGTTATCGGAGACGGAGAGCTGGGGGCACATAATTATTTAAAAAAAAAAAAAAGAAAGAAAGAAAGAAAGAAAGGGGAAAAACAAAGAATGAGGAAGGGTGAGGAAGGGGAGGGGGTTCCAGAGATACTCACGGCTAGCTCCCACTCCGCTCCAACCCCCCTCAACTTCCACGCCACTGCAATCCCATTTTGCAACGTCCTCTACCGCAGTGATATTCGGCTCGTACTCCATCTCATTCATCAAGTGGTTGTCCTTCAATCCCTCAACGAATTCTTGGAAAGATGCGTTCCCCGTCGTCGTGCGGTTGTCGAGGACAGTTCGGCGAGCGAACCATTTGTCTTCCTTCTGGGCCGCCGCTGGGTTCTTGCTAGCCAATGGTGTATACTTGACAGTACCAGACGATATTTGCACTGGTGTGCTTGAAGGTGGCGAGTCGTAAAGATTGCGGTCCGTAGTGAACGATTCTCCTGGGACGGTGGTTGTTATGAAGTCACGAGCCTGCGTGAGCGCAGCATGTAGGAATAGGCTGAGAGAAGGGCGGGCATCAATGGCTCCGTCACTGGCTGGACTTGGGGAAGAGTAGGGGATAGATGGATGGCCAGGAATTTCGGAAGGAGAAAGAGGCGCAAGGTGAAGTAGGAATGGGATTGTGGAGGGAGACATGGCTGTACGGTCAACGAGGAATTTGTGCTTTGTTCAAGTTTCTAAGAGCGGTTGCGGCTGATCGACTTCTGTATCACTCCGTACTAAGCTAGTCCCAGTACGGCGGCGGCTGATTGGAAATGCGGGGCGCTAGTCCGCGATAGGAAGCTTAGGCTCTCAGGCTGCAGATCGCCCTATTTAAGCGCGCGGCAAACTTTACCGAAGCGGATCGGTGGACATTTGGGCGGGAGATCCAACGTAGCTGTCAAGAGTGTCAGACTGTTAGAATCATGCTAAGTATCTTAATATCGGTTGCCCCACCTTACGGATTGGTCCCTTTGCTGCAGCGGCTAAATCCCCACCTTATCTGTTCCGCAAAAAGCTTAATGTAGAAGGGAACGACTCTTTCCAGTAATTTTATACTGATTATTATAGGCATGTAACAGAAACAAGTGCGAGGGTCCGAGACGTGGTCCGAGACGTGATGGCATTTTCTATGACTTACTTTAAATGATGATTTAGACTCAGCAGCAAAGTGCTTCAGAGCTCAACAGCTTATAATCAACTGGCAGAATCTGTCGCTCTGGGAGGTTTTCTCGCAAACAGCACGAAGAACGGAAGATACGAGTGTACCGAGGAATCCTCCACCGATTTCCTTACTTCGACGTTAAAGACCTCCATTTCTTCAAATGTCCAGCCCAATGCTTTTGTGAAAGGCTTCATGCTTTCTCCTTGCAACCCGTCACTGATCAGACAGCGGTTATACAAACCGATTCTCTTTAGTGCTTTGCTTCTCGGCCACGTGCCGATGGGCACTTTGAATTCTTGTTCATTCACATTCGTAAACCCAGCGTCGCGGATGTAGCGAGCGTATTTTTTGGGGGAGAGGAGATCAACGTTGAACGTGGAGAGCCCTTGTTTCATGAGACGAAGCCATTCGGCAAACGCATAGTCATCTGGTACGGACCCGTCGTCACATTGGGCTTGATAGTAAAGTTCTTGGATTTCAATCCATCCGCCCGGTTTCAATTTACTGTGGGTTAGGCCAAATTTTGTTAGTCATGGGAAAATGGGCATGTATACACACTTCAAAGTGATGAAAAAATGACTCACCGAAAAGCAGATTTAACAAGCCTCGGAAAATCCTTGATTCCCGCGGCAAGATGCCGAATATGGACGAAGTCGAAGTGATCATCTGGATGGAGCCACGGGCACTCCACATCGTCAACCATGAATCTCACATTTGGGGGAACCCAGATAGGCTGTATGGGGCTCAGATCGATGCCGAGGACATTGGCACCAGGATATCGATCACCCACTACCATAAAATGCGCGAGTTAGGCATGAGTTGGCATGTTACGGGTGTCAAATCAAAAAGAAGAAAAGAAGAAAAGAAGAAAAGAAGAAAAGAAGAGTTAGGAAATGGAGGAGAGGGAGAAAAAAAAGAGGGAAATATAGCTTGGATTATCATACTATCAATCGCCCACACGCCCGTTCCGGTTCCTACGTCGAGAATCTTATGCGGACTTTCGAGAGGGGCATAATGCAACTTCCCCCCGCACAGGCTGACGATCATGGAATGTTTCATATCTTCGCGCTCCTGTTCCCGCTCGTCGTTAGGGAACAGATAAGCGCCCTCGTGAAACTTATGGAATCGACGCCCATATTCAAAAACGAAGTCGCCCACACTGGACACGAGTGACGACGAGATGGTCGGTTCACTATCAGAGACGTAACCGCCGTCATTTGCGTCATCCCCGTCATTGATTTGGATGGCCGTCACTGTCTGTAGAAGAGCGTCTCCTGGTTCCTGCGGTCATCTGTCAGTGGATTTTCAGGTGGTCGTCTTGCGGGTGACCCGGAAGTGGGACGATGTTGCTTGCCATGTCGTTGTTGGGGTTGTTGGGTTTTTGAGGGACATTAAAACCGATGTGGAATTTTGAAATGGAGGGAGGCCCTTTTGGCCCATGGAATGGATCCTAATAAATATTGGTTTTTGGGCAGATTACAGAATACGGATTTATGAATTTTCCCAAGCAGGAATGAATATATTCTTTTGTTAGCTCCAAGGCCGGGGAAAAGCTGAGGGAAGCTTTGGAACTGTGGCGATTCCTTGTGACTGCGGGAAAGCCGAGCCTCCTATTGGTTCTTGATCTTCACACAACAAGCAGGAAATTCTGACTCGGTACTCAGGACTGTAGAGATCTGGAATCTATCTATAAGCGTCGTATTTAAGCGATGCAGAATACTGATAATTAGTTACATATAAGTTGATGTAAAACCCCAGAGATCTATGATTTTGGGAGTAATGTCGTTTAGTTAACATAACTGCACAACAATGTAACATCAATATACTCCGTCCTTTCACGTAATACGCTGAGAAAATGGCCACTGAAAAGCATACGTTCTGGCCATTTTTGGTGTTATAACTAGGCAGTGATGTCAGGTCAATAGAGTGTTCTTTCAAATCCGTACACTTTTGTGTTGAATCTCTTATCACAGGCGTGTAGATTCGCCAATAACACGGATTACCAGACAATTAAAGCATCGCTTGATTCATCGTACGCAGTTCTTTCCATCTATCTATCCAAGAGTCCAGCCAAACATTGTCCGGTTCTTAGACGGGTTTCTTGATGCAGTTTGCTGTCCGCACTTCCTCCTTTTGAACCAATCCCAGTGTCAAAAACTTCGCCAACAATGAATCCGGTCGTTTCCCTCCGTGACGACATATTAATCGAAATTGAAAAAGCAACGGGGTATAGTTTCACCAACCCGGCGTTCTGCCTCACAGCTCTTCAGACAGCTGGGTGTGTTGCAGCTGGTGGGCAAAAATCCCTGGCCCAAGTCGGAGATGCTGCCTTGAGGCTAGCTCTGGTGACGATTGGCTATGGGAAAGGAGCTTCAAGAGGTACGGCTAACCGTTATGCAGCTTAGCAATATAAATTTATATATATATATAGGGGCTTCGCCAGCTGAGCTTTAAATTCATTATTCCTAGGACAGATCGACAGCGCATTAGAACCAGAGCATCGAATTCTCATCTCGCTGATCAGGGCTTCGAGAGAGGCTTCGATGAATATGTGTATCGAATCGGGGGAGTCGACATTTCTAGGAAAATGATGGCTACCGCAGTCCAAGCCGTCCTTGGTGCTGTGTTTCTAGACTGCAACAAAAACATGTCCGTTTTCCTGGAAGTGATCGAGGTTTTGGATCTCTCTTGGAATTAAAATAGATTACTCCAAGGTAAGCGAAAAGAATTTCTTTTAGCGGATGTGTTGAAAGCTACTTGCACATCTTGATGCCCGTTTTATCTCAATCCCACTATTAGGCGAATCAACTTGGCTATACAGCTATCGATCGCCAACTCCGTATCCCGAATGTAAATCTCAAATTTGTTGAAAGCCAATACGAGTAACGTGTGATTAGGAATGAGGTACCTAGGTAGAAATTGTAAATCACTTGGCGGCAGGGGTGCTGATCTCGTTGCGGGTGGGTGGGTAGCTAGCATGGACGAAGGGCGACAGGGGTGATTATTTGAGGAAATGATATTGTAGGCCATTGACGATGATTCGGGGAAAACTTCAATTTGGGGCTCACATTTCCCAATTCTAATATACTCAAGCAACTTGCAATGCACCGTTTCATGCTGAAACCCGTTTCCTATCATAAGTTTTTATGGAGACTGTCTTGTTAAAATTGAGGCATCATAAATAATAGGGTATCTAAAATGCACGTATAACATCGTTAAACACGCCGAACGCCAGGCCCGACACTGCCGGTATCAAAGAGCTCAATGAGGCCCGAGCCCAAGGCCTCTTCCAAAGCCCATCGGAAGTTCAACCCATAGAGCTCTTTCCATTTTTTGGTTTTTCCAGGCAAGACACCAGCGGATTCGCCTCGTGCTCGCTTAGAAACATTGTAATATACCTCAGACTCAACAGCACCATCCCATCGGTCCCTAATGAGGGTCAAAGGGGCTTCGCCTGAGCGCGACTTTTTTAGCAGAGTCATGATTTGCGTTCTCGCTGCGCCTACCAGACGGAGATAAGGACCCAGGTTCGGAATTGAAAGAAACATAGAGGAGATTCCAGATTTCCTCTGGTCGGATACTGCTATCTCTTGTCCTGGTAACACTATATTTAAAGCATGGCTTCGTCTAGAGGCGGGGATGGAAGTAAGAGAAGTGTCAAAAGATGGATGCTTAGCTAAAGAAGACGGGGATACGAGGAAGCCGGCTCGAACTAAAGATGAGGTCTCCTCTGGAGTGAAAATACCAGCTGCAACGGCCGATGTCTTGGTATTTTTGCGTAGAAGTTCAAGGAATTTTTCTACTCGTTCGAGTTAGCGACTCGACTCGACCTGACCAAAAAAAAAAATAAAATAAAAAATAAAAAAAAAAATAAACAAAACTTAAATAGGAAATTCCCTCTTCTTCTCGCTTACATACCTTTTAGATCATCTTTTACGGATGAGCTGCTTCTAACTGTGTCCTCCCAATCCTGAACTAAGATTAAACAGTCTCCCAGGCCAGCAGAATCGAATCCGCGCCCGGGAATAAAAAGCTTTCGAACCCGAGCGGAATCAACGAGGTCAACAATCTCTCTCTCGACCTTCGTCGGCGCATTCATCAACATATGGACATGCGCAACAGAAACAATGGGCGGAAGCGCACGCCGAAAATTCAACACCTCCGCGATCCGAGTGCTGTTCATCCCTGCTCTTTGAGGAAGGTCGCTAAACATGGTATTGTGAATATACTGAATCGCCTGGATTACGCTGTTTAGTTCTGTTGTTTCGGAAATATACTGGGATGGGCCAATATCAGGAAGGATGCTATCCTTGTAATAGCCACTATGGATGTCATTGTCGCTGTCCAAGGCCGTCCTGCCAAGGTCTTTTGAACGCGTGCTGTGCGGGCTGCGAAAGGGTTTCGCGCGCGAGTGGCGAGAAAATGGCGACTGGCGTCCAGACAGCTGGGTACCTGATGATTTCCTGATTCGTGAAGACTGTGCAGCTGTGAAATGAAGTGGCATCACGAACAGCGACCCGCAGACTGCGCCAGGTCTTTAACTTCGCGGGGTTAATGCAATTCGAGGAAGAAAAAAAAAGCAAGGTGATTGAGATCGACTTAGTTAATCATAACCTCGGCTGGAAAAACATTCAACCGTAGTGCCACCATTCTCATTTTCTGGTCCCCATGATGATCCTATTCCGAATTCTATCCTGGAAAGAATAGGATATAACTAACTAAGCAACTAGTTATTGGAATGGCGAAGATGTTGGTAATCTACGTGTGGGTGTATTTTAGATGGATCGAGTTGGGCCACTGTTTTCAAACCAGCGACAAGAATTCCCAAAGAGGCAATTGCCTCCTCCACCGTTGGCAGCTCGATATCAAACCCTGAATTGGACGAACACAATTGAATGCATGAATGAATGCATGAATGAATCGAGTCCGGGGATGCCTTGTCCCCCAAGATGGCCTGCGAATAAATACCCGTTTCTCTAACTTCTACTCCCTTCCTATTCCCATCCATGAGGGTTGAAATGACGTAGTTATGACCATCCTATCCCGCCTGTTCCCAACATGGAAAAGCCTAATCCAGCTTGTTTATCCTAGAATCATTTTACAGATAAAGAGCAGCGTGGCAGCGCACTGATATTGCATATCTCTCTTCGTGTCTGTCTCACTTCCGTCATAAAAAAGTTCCTTATAGTCACTTTTTGTATCGATGAGCTCTGTCACGATGACTGTTTTCGTCGTGTCCTTGTATGTTCGTCTGGGCTCGACAGCTATCTCATTGATATCTTGACTTTCTCTGACTCTTGCCTATAGATTTCTCCCATACACTGTCAACTTTCGCCTTCCGGAATGTTCGATCAGGAAGCGGACATCAAGCCCTAGACGCCGTCATATGCGGGAAGGGTCCTCAGAGCTTCACAGGAGGCAGTTCAACAGCCTGTTCCCCCAGCAGAAGAAGCCGAGCTGCCCCCCATCGAGACCAACATTTATCAAAGAGCAGGCCCAATTGTCTGCCATCGCATCTGACAAGCCAACACTTAGGGCGGATCAACCCGGATACCCGTTCCCTTCTCACAACGATCTTCAGCCACTTGCCCCGAGCGACCCCCATTCACCAACATGGGGAACCAAGGGAGTATTCAACCAACCCGAAGCGCAGCCCCTTAGTTCCCCTGCACCATCTGTTCTCGCTCACGGTGTCGCAATTGATACCTCCCAGAAGGCGGGAGATGTCGCTAGGTCGTTGGGTTCCACTCAATCAATCAGCGAAAGCCAACTTTTTTCAGAAGCGGATTGGACCATAGAATCGTCGGAACAAGGGAATGGTGGACTTCGGAATGCAGTTCGCTCTGCTGTGGACACCGGACTTCTAAAGGATAAGCTGTGGGTCGGAACTCTCGGCATGCCTACCGACGTACTAGGTGACCATACCAAGGATACAATCGCCGAAAAATTGGAGGTGGACTTTGACTCATTGACCGTCTACGTAAACGATATCGACCTTGATGGCCATTATCTCCACTTTTGTAAAACAATTCTTTGGCCGGTTTTCCATTATCAAATCCCTGACAACCCGAAGAGCAAGGCCTATGAAGATCACTCATGGGTCTACTACGTCAGGACCAATCAAGCGTTTGCGGACCGCATAGTTCACAATTGGAAGCGTGACGATGTCATCTGGATTCATGATTATCACCTGCTGTTGGTTCCCGCGATGATACGAAAGCAGATCCCTGATGCTCAAATCGGGTTCTTTCTCCATATCGCATTCCCATCCTCTGAGGTGTTTCGCTGCTTGGCTGTTCGTGAAGAGCTATTAAAAGGCATGCTAGGTGCCAACCTCATAGGCTTCCAAGCACAGGAATATTGCCACCATTTTTTGCAAACCTGCAGTCGCATCCTTACAGTCGAGGCTACGAATGAAGGTGTCCAACTAGAAGACCGCTTCGTTAACGTTGGGACATTTCCAATCGGCATTGATGTGAAAGCTTTGGACCGGAGACGTGAAGATGAGGACGTCGCACAATGGATGCGAATCATTAAGGAAAAGTATAGTACGAAGCATCTTGTTGTGGCCCGCGATAAGCTGGACAACATTCGAGGTGTCAGGCAGAAACTGCTCACGTACGAACTTTTCTTGCGAAAATACCCTCAGTGGCAAGACAAGGTACGAAATTAAATGTGTTTCGTGCGTATTATGAACTACCATTAATTGTCTTGATTTAGGTGGTTTTAATTCAAGTCGCTTTACCATGCACCGACCAATCTGAGCTCGATGCGACTGTATCGGATATCGTTACGCGAGTGAACTCTGCTAACTTCAGTTTAGCACATCAACCTCTAATCTTTTTGAAACAGGATATCAGCTTCCCTCAGTATCTTGCTTTAATCACCATGGCTGACGTTTTAATGGTCACCAGCCTTCGCGAAGGTATGAACCTTACAAGTCATGAATATATCCACTGCCAAGATGGTAAATATTCGAACAAAAAACATGGTTCTCTTATTCTCAGCGAATTCACGGGGAGTGCCTCCCTCTTCGATGGACACACGTTGCTTGTCAATCCCTGGAACTACAGGCAGTGTGCGGAGGCTTTGAACACGTCCCTCCAATTGACTCCTGAACAAAAGGAGCGCAACTGGACGAAATTGAATGACACAATAATGAAACACACGACTGTAAATTGGTTCGAAGAATTTGTCGACGCCCTCTCGAAAGCTTATAGCGAACAATCCTTACGGGATAATGTGTCTATACCTCGACTGTCAGTCAGTGATCTTTCAGCTAAATATAAGGAGTCTTCTAGTCGACTGTTCATCCTCGACTATGAGGGCACACTGGCATCCTGGGGTTCGCCAACCAGTATCGTGTTAACCACACCGAAACGCGCCATTGATACATTGAATGACCTGATCGAGAATCCCCAAAATATAGTCTACGTGATGAGTTCCAGAATGCCCGAGGAAATGGAGCGACTTTTCGCTCGTGTTGGAGGTTTAGGTCTAATTGCAGAAAATGGATGTTACGTTCGGGAAGCGCATGTAGAAGATTGGATTAAGCTTGTGAGCGACGAGAAAACTACTGCGTGGAAGGATGGAGTCGCGGATATGATTCGTTATTTCCAGGAACGTACCGAAGGCAGTTGGGTCGAACACATGCACTCCTCTCTAGTATTCCATTTTGCACACGCTGAGGACCCCCAAACAGCCGAACGACATGCCTCTGAGTGCGCCAACCATATCAATGACACCTGCGCCAATCATCAGGTGCATGCCGTCGTGGACCAGGATGCTCTGGTTGTCGAGCCCATTGCCCCGAACAAGGCTACCGCTGCGTGTCTGGTTCTCGATGGCATTCAGAAATCCGCCCGGGCTTCTAACAATCAGGGACCGGATTTCCTCTTGGTAGTTGGCGATGGTCGGGAAGACGAGGTTATCTTCCGCTGGGCGAATGAAGTGGGACGGCAAAAGAGAATCAAAAACACCTTAACCGTCACACTAGGGTCGAAGAATACAGAGGCAGCGGCAACGCTAACACAAGGAGTGACTGGTATGTTGTACTTTGGAACAATTCAAGATGGAATAAAGTGGACTGTTGCTAACAATTCGAGGTACAGGTGTTCTTTCCTGTCTCCAGAAGTTGGCTGCCATCTCATAGCCAGCGCAGTGATAACTGCAGCTTGATCGATGAGATGATTAGGATCTGTATATTTTAGCCATGCAAGGCAAGCAGCATTAAAGAAGCACCAAACCGTCAAGTTTTTTTTTTTTTTCATAGGAGCTGGTGTTAACGTCCTTTTACATAGCATTATCAAGATACACCATGTTATAAAACCACCCCCATCTTCTCTTGTTCCCGCATATATTTTTACTGCTGGTCCCCCTTCCGCACAGCCCGTCGATAATGTATTTCATAACTCTATATCAAAATTAGCGTATCGCGATCACTAGTTTATAAAGCCATCAACTGATCTACTTCTTCTCAGAATAATATGTCTCCTAATCTTAAGGAATCAATTCATCTTTTCCCGGTTGGCTGAGCAGCGAATTCAGTCGTTCCTTACAAGGAGAGGACAGGAATTGCCCTCATTTTGTGACAACCGCAACTGATCAGTTGACTCCTAGAAACTTAAAAAATCGACCATATACACCTAAACCTCTATACACATCTCTCGATAACTACATATACTCTATCTAGTACAACACGTTCCTTTGCTAAAAATAAAAACCAAAGTCACATAGTTACTCACCATCACTTCCGCCTTTTGTTCAACAACACCTTCGTCTGGACAAGGGAATACAACCACTCCACCCTTGTTGCTGGTAACTCTTCTTAAACTCCATATTCAACAATACCTCGCCAATTCGTCTTTACGCCACTCAACAGCATTCTGCCACTGACTTCCCACGGCGTTCGAATCGAACTTCTCCAACATCATGCTGCAGCAATATCGGGCTGGGGTGTAGTTACTAGTACTAGCTATCTCACCTTTCCCTGCCGCAAAAGCAACGAGCAAGCTGTGCCAAATACGGGTAAAAAAAAATTCGAGGAACCCGGGAAACGATCGCCGACAAGAGCAGTCCCCTGCGAAGAACTAGGGGGATGAATGGAATATGCAAGCAGATGGTGATATGAAAAGGGACGGGCCCATTGCTTCCTCGTTTCCTCTTTTTTTTTTTTTTTTTATAAGGCCATCGGCTGGACAAGAGCCGGCCAAGGACCTCGGCATACTGAGAACAACAAACAAGGGTCCTTCAAGGGTCTTCTGAACCAATCACAGAACAAGGAGCCAGCTGGGCTTCCAAGGGTCTCGCCCAGCTGTGATTTGTCCCAGCCATGGTGGGAAAAAGTATCACACCCGGAATTTAAACGGGGTTCAAATACCATCCGGCGGCCCCCTCGATTGATGAGTGTGTGAGTGGAGGGTGTGGTGCCAAGACCATCATTTTGGCATCAAAGGGGGGGCGGGCTTCAGTCGTCCCAGCACAAATGGTAATTGCTTAGTAGGAAAAATAGGTTATGATCTCGAGGGATGAAACTATTAGAGTAGCGGGGTGTATGGGCACGCTTGCACGCTATTTATTTACTTCGTATTCTAATCTAATCAGGAGAGAGACATCAAAACTCTAACTACCTATCTGGATAAATAGAGGATAACAGATATTATCTATGTCTCTGTACAAACCCGTCTCAAGTCCCTCAATCCCCCCCTTCTATAGTTAACATTGTCTACAAACACATTACATGATAATAAATACACATCAGGGGAAAATAGTAAAAATCACAACTTCCCCTCTCTCACCTGCACCCAAACTCCATACGCCTCCGCACAAACAACCTTCCTCTTAACCCACTCCAGCTGACCCTTCCCCCTCCCTTCCCCCGCCTCTTCCTCCTGCACAAGCTGACTCCGCATGAAAAACTTCCTCCCGTCCCTCGCCACACACCACGCCTTCACAACAGCCATGCCAGGAGCCCGCACGGGCTTCCGATACCGAACGTCGAGCTGCGCCGTATACAGACGCGCGCGCTCCACGCTCTCATTCTCGTCGTAGCCCGGGATGTGCACCGAGACAGCCATGGACATGACTTCATCGAGCAGGGTGGCAACGACGCCGCCATGCGCTGTGTTTATATGGCCGTTTAAGCCCGGCGTGCCGAGAGCGAAGAGCGTGAAGAGGTCGACTTTCCCTGAATGGATGGGCGTCGGTTTGGGTGCATCAGGGCCGGTGGCAGGAGGCGGGAAGCGGGTGTATGGCGGCTTTGGCGGTGGTGTGTCTAGATGCTTTTTGCGCAGGGTGAGGCAGTAAGGGATTGTGGTCGGGGAGCCGATTGTGTGGGCAATGAAGGCATCTTCACCGGTTGAGGGGTCGGAAGTTCTGGAGGATGTTTTTATAGCGGTGTGGGTGGCCAGGCTTAGGAAACTGGAGGTCCAAGGGTCGGATTGGAAGTACTCGAGGGTTTGCGCGGGGACTGCATAGGCAGGAGGGTTCGTGGGAGTAGAGGAGGAGGAGGAGGAGGAGGAGGAGGAGGACATGGCGATGGTCGTTAAGGTTGTTCTTTATTTATTTATCCCGCGCGCCTGGACGGGGCGGGCATCATACCGGCAAGATGGGAGGGATATTGATTAATTGGCGGATTGGAACATGCCTGGGAACAAATGTATGAACGAGAGAAAAGCAAACAGGCGTTATATCCAACAACCTAGGAACCTTTTGTATTTCTCTCATTTTGCTTCCACCACAACCAGACGCACCGTGATGTAAGAAAATCAAGCCCGAACAGACCTCGGCATTTTTGATTCGGGAGTTCGGGGAGCTTAGTCAGAGCCAGCTTCGATGGGCGTGGTTAGACCTCCAACCAGGGTTCAAAGCCGAACAAAGATGAAACACCGTATGAACGGGGTTCACGACCCATCATATATTAAGCCACTAGCCAATTCCCCACTCCGCTCTCTTCTCGAGAAGATCATGATGAGCTGAGATGGGATGAGATGAGATGGTGCATACTGTTAGGCCACTGGGGCAATCTCTCACACCAGCGCCATGCTGGTAGTAGATGGGACGAACCAATCCAAACCCCCCCAACACATACATACCCTGACCTAGTTCATGGGGGCTTAGTAGTACAACCCGAGGCGCATTTTCAAAAAACAACAGGGCCACACCAAGGGGGTATATCCAAGATTATCTGTCCAAGAGTAATGCAAATGGACGGGGCAATTACTGAATATAGAGCAGATACAGATTTACTGCTTTCTGGTAAAGCAGTAGTATACAACACCAAGAAAGTCAACCACATTTGACGGGATTCTAATAACGTGTGGGTATCTCCCGGACTTTCTCACTTCGGATGAGTTTTAATGGTATCAAGACGATGTTTAAAGATATCCTGTGATTTTTAGATGGAATGCTATAGCGGATGACTATGGCTAAGGTAGATGGAAACCTATTGGTAGTGACATGTATTAAATAGTTAACAGTGAACTAGTCTATTGGGTCATTTAGCCATGGATCCTCAAGCAGTTCCTTTGCTGTCTTTCTATCTTCTGATTGCCATTGAAGCATTCCTCTCATAAAAAACTAGAAACATTTCTTTATTTCTTCTCTTCAGAAACTCTTCTGATTCTTCCAATCTTGTTTGAAGTATCTCTATGTCATGCTTTCATCATTCTGTGAAAGTCTTTAATGAGTCTTTCACATCTGCTAGATAATCTCAGAGGAAGAGAGATAATACATACCATCTTCAGTAAAAAATTCAAGGCTCCATTTTCCACACTTGAGCATATCTAAGAGAGACAGTCCCAGAATGTCAATCACCTCAGTAAGATGTGCATGGGTGATATATTCTTTCCAATCAGAATCATTGCCATGAAACATGTGCTTGCCCTCAAACAAGTCCCAGATCTGGTTTTCCCCCACTCATTAGGAACCTCAAAGAAGCATGTCTTGAAACTCTTCCACATAGGTTTCTGAACAAAACAGTGACGGTCATCTTCAGAATGAGGAATGATATACACATCTAGAGCCTTTCTCACCTGGGCATAACCAGGATGTGATGAATTTTGTTGATTCATATATGATATACTTATAGATCTGAAACTCTTCCTGATTAGCTTTGTCATGTGTATATACCTTGACTGTTGCATATTTATGATCTCTGGTTGTGTTAGCCTGCCATAGTTGAACATAAAAGAGAGCTGAATTACTTAAGATCATGAGTGAGTCATGGGGTGGAGGTAACTTCGAATCCCAATTTATCAATGATTTGATATCTGGAACTCAAGACATCTCCAATGTTGATAGCATAATATTGTCCTTTCTTGAACACTTCAAATTGTTCCTCTTCAAGTTCAGACCCACTGACTGTTTCGAAGCCACTGGCTGGAAAACACAGAGGAGGGGAGGGAACTCTTTGAAAGGTGGCTTTGACCCATCGCAGGAGAGAAGTCATGATGAGAGCACAAAGGAGCAAAGTGGGATGGATGTGTTTGATCAAAGCTGGAAAAGGAAATGGAGGGCGACGGCAGTTGATTAACAACACTGTTTATATAATATTCATCAATAAACTATCTGTAGATTCTAAAAGATCAGCAATTAACTTTCAATATAAGAGATTGCTATCATATTCCATATATATCAATATATAAACTTCATTGCCAACCGCCATGTTTGCAGCTACCAGGTGTGAGCGTATTACTAATATTGAGTATAGGTGTGCTTTAGTAGCACGAAGATAGCTTTGAAACTGTTGGCTCCAACCTTTGAGCCCGGGCGCCTCGGCAAAATCCTGGAACCCAGGTTTGGTCGTCGATAACCCTCAGCTCATGTGAGCCATGCAATGGCGACTCCGACACTGTTGTGGGCCGTGGTTGGTGACCGCTGCCGCGAGCGTTCAGGGTGCTTGGACGTTTTGACGTTTTGAATAAGGGTTTCTGAGGAGCTGCAGAATTGGAACCACGCAGAGAGCGCAAAATTGAGGAATTGATCGCTGAATCGAATCGATAGGCGGGGCGGGCTAGACGCTAAAAAGAAGCAAGAAAAGAAAAGATAAAACGAGAGAATAATCGCACCGAGGAGTTACCAAAAAGAACCGTGCGAGCGCTGAGGGGACAAAACTCCTCATTTCCTATAGAATGAACAGTGGAGATGAAGGCCTGACGGATACTGACAGGATAACAGACCCTGGCTGTTTCACCTTTGCCCTCATCACATTTGCTAGAGGGGACAAACTACGCTGTACAGGCTAGAGAGGTGGCTGGGGCGTGGAAACCGGGGCTTGACCAAAGTCGCGCTATTCAATCCTGCTAAATGATACTCCGTATATGACAGGTTGTTGGCACAATCAATTTTCCCAATGTTGGGTGAAAGTTCTTGGGTTTTGTTGAGTTGGGGCGGGTAACGCTGCGGACGTTGTTAAAATGGACTGATAGGCCGCCAGCGGAGGGAATATAAGGATAAATGAGAACTTTGCAACGGCTGCTGCATTCTTTCTCATTCTTCTGAAGAGCAAACTCACTGAGGCTTCTTGCGGTCAACGGAAAAAGAGGAAAAATCGCTTGGAATCTAAACCGCGGTGTAACTGTGTCATGGTCTTATTGGCAGATACAAGCCGGCCCAAACAAAATTGTATGGCAGCACAAGTCACTCTCCGCTGGCACTACAAGCTACCTAGGGAACCCGCAAATGTCCCCATTGGGCAAGAATGAGCCGGGGGCAATTTGGTTTCTGATTCTTCAGTCAACTATGTAACTATGTAACTAGTTAGTTGACTAGTTACTGATGATTTTATCATTTATTTATCCTTCCTTCCGCAGCTGACATCGCGACATCGCATCGCCAATTCGTCCTTTTCTCGTTCCAACAACAGCAACAGTCTATCCATCGCACATATTATTCTCCGTGAATTGGATGTAATTTATTTTAACTGTTGCCCTTGCTCGAGAGTCTCCCCCCAGCTCCACGGAGATCCCTACGCGGATCAGCTCAACTCAATTGAATCCAAGGTCAACCTTGGAACCGGCCAGGAACACCATAGCAACTCCCACCACCACAACAAAACAACAACAACACAGCGCTCGGCCACACAATTCAATTCCACAACCCTCAACCTACACTCAACAAACTCAGAACCCAGTGTTGTTGTACCAGCGCAGCTCCACATATAAAATCCTAAAGCTCCCCTCAGCTGGATACCGCTCCGCTCAGCCGACTCTGAATCGCACTGCGCTGGAACTTCCACAACCTGCCGCGCTTGATTCATGTAAAATCGTGATTGCACACCAGCAACATGTTGCTCTCCGCTATTGTCTTCGCAGTCTCTCTGCTGGTGTCGGGAATCCAAGCCCAAAGCTTCGATCCTCAATCTGTTCCTGACGATCTGAAACGTAAGTACAAATGATCCGTGCATTACTTTCTTTTGAAACCAACAAGAAACTCGGACCATGGGTTTGTCTCGCTAACTTAAAAGTGCCCAGTTTCATGGTGTGATGCCCAACTGGCGGCTTGCCCTAAGGTTTGCAAGAGTTTTGCATCCGTCAACAAGTGCGATGCGGTACGGTGTTCCTCTAGTTTTAAAAAATCATTTCATATAACGCAGCAATGCCATTCACGCCGCTTTCCACATGTTTTCTTTCTTTTTATTTTGCGCATTTCGCTAATTTCTCAACAGAATGATTTGTCCTTCACGTGCACCTGTGGGGACGGCAGCACCCCAGACCTCACCAAATATATGAACACGATCCCCTACTTTATCTGCACGGCGACCTATGGGCAATGTGTCAAGAGCCACCCCGATGACTTGTCTGGGCCAGAGAGCCTGCAAGACGAACCAAACAAAGTGCTTGGGAACCATAGACCCTCTCAAGTCTGCGTCAACCACGAGCCAGATTGGGCAAACCAGCGCGGCCAAACCCACGGGCAAACCCACCGTCACACCCACGACCACGAGCGAGCCAGCAGCCACAACCACCGATAATCCAGCTTCAACTCTTCGCGTTCCAGGCCATTCCTCCATGGGTTTCATCGTTGCCGTGTTCCTCGCAGCATTCAAGTTCTTCATATAGATACCTCCTACCGTCACTGATGGCCACTGTATTATTTTTAATACGAGTGAGGCCGACCGGCTTGTTGTGCTTTAATGCTGATCATTCTTTTTTTCATGCTGTCCGTTATGATGTGAGCAGAAATACTGAGATGAACGGAAGAGAACGAGGAATGCAAGGGAAAAAAAAAAAAAAAAAAAAAAAAAAAAAAAAAAAAAAAAACCCTAATTCAGTGCAGATGTCTGTCAGCTGTAGGAAGCTTTATTTTTGTATGTTTTTCAACTCTGTAGTCCTTAACCCCCAAGATACCACGAGCAGCACTCATCCAAATGTGTGATTTAACGGTTATGAAGAGATGCAACAAACCAGGCACTGTTGCAATTGTAGGTGAAAATGTTAGATAATTCCACCGGACAACTCTTTCTCTCATGACTCCTTGAAAATTGTAGATAAGATATGTCTGCCTCTTCGGTCGTTGGACAGTTGATGTAATAATGCTTTCTTTCGTTCGTTGCTGATCATCAGAATTATGACGCCAGTGGGCAAGAGAAGCAAAGCTTCAACAGTATGCACTAGTATAGTGTACATGGAAGAAAATAGGAATACTATCGTGCAATTGATGTTAAATTTGAATCTTTATACCTTTGAAGTTTCTCCAATATCTCCTGGACCTACTTATGATTTTTCCGCATTTTACCCAATTTTCTCTAATTTTCTGCCAGTCGCATTGCGTCCCTATCAACTCCGTCTTGCTGCCAAAAGATACATTCGCCTCGCCAAGACCTTCTCCCACAACAACCGAATTTTTTTTGTCGATTCGATCTTTCAACCGCCAAACATCATCCCGCCAACCTCCCATTTCCCCCCCATCCCTGCCCCAGATCAGATCAAGCCCCATCCAGATACATTGTGTATACAGTCTAGTATACCATAAAGATGGCTGCTACCCCTAACACCCTCCTGATCGAGGGCACGTTTGCTGAGCTAGCGGACGAGCTGGCCCAGTATATCGATGCCATCCGCAAAGTGGAGAAGGGCGTCTATGCCGAAATCACACCAGCACTCGAGGTCCTACGGGGGATAGATCAGATAGAAGAGCCTAGTGCTGCACAGCGGCAGCAGATTCTGTCCAAGAGGGATGAGGTTCTGAAGAAGATCGTTGTGGCTGCGCAAGCATTGAATACAGCTCCAGAAAAGGGTGAGAAGTCATTATCTATTTATATAGATCTCCATGTATATACATCAAATACTATACCTAGGTGCACGAGGAGACTAACAAAGATGGATTCAAACACAGAAATCACCGCTGCTTATAATCTCCTTATCCACCTCATCCGCCAGTCCTCGTCCGTCAACATGTTCCTCCCACGGATTTGCGGTTACCTCGCCAAACCATTTACATCCTCTCCACAGCATGGCTCAAGCCTTGCTATATCCATCCTCTCTACTATCTTCAATACCCTCGCTCCTCAAGATACAGGTCGCTATCACGTGTTCCTCGCTATCCTAGCAGTCATCCGCCAGGCGCCCTCCGTGTTTGCATTCACTGCTCTCAAATCACAGCTTAACACGCAGCTCCCCATCTGGATAGGGTCCTGGGACCTTGATGAAGAGGATCTCCAACGCCTTCACCTGGCTATATCCGACGCGGCCAAAGAAGCCGGCGACCATGAACTTTCACACTCCCATCTTGTCTCCGCCCTCCAAGCCATCCCTCCCTCCGAAGCATCCTCTCCCGAAGCCCATGACCTTGCTCTGCGCGCCCTCCTATCAGCTCTTACCTCGCCCTCAGTCTTCGATTTCACCCCCCTCACTGCATCCGACGCCATCCAGTCCCTGCGAACAAGCGAACCCCACCTCTTCGAACTCCTCGAAGTCTTCGCAGCAGACACCCTAGATGTATACGAAGACAGCATTAAATCCACACCACTCTCCGCCATCCACAACCTTTCCGCCTCCGCTGAAATCCTCCAAACAAAGATGCGCCTCCTCACCCTCGCCAGCCTCTCGGCCTCCACCCCATCCCGCTCCCTCCCATACGACACAATCGCAAACGCCCTGCGTATCCCACGCGCGGATGTGGAGAAATGGGTCATCGACACCATCCGCGCCGGGCTTGTGGAGGGCAAACTCAGCCAGCTGAAGGGCGAATTCCTAGTGCACCGCGCGACTTACCGCGTGTTTGGCGAGAAGCAGTGGGCGGAGATTCAGGGGCGGCTGATGGTGTGGAGACGGAGTTTGGAGAACGTGTTGGGTGTGGTGAGGAGTGAGAAGGAGAAGTTCGTACGGGACGAGATGGCCGCGGCCGCCGCGGCCAATGCGGCTGCTACTGCTGCTGCTGCTGCAAATGCGGAGGGTGGTGCGCAGAGGGGTGGGGAGAGGAGGAGAGGTGGTGGTGGACATCATCAGCAAAGACAGCAACACCAAATGCACGAGCAACAGCCGAGAGAGGTTGAGTTGGTTGGCGGGGGCGATTAGTCTTTTTTTTTTTTTTCTTTTTTTTCTTTCCCCCCTCCTTTTCTTCCCTTTTCTTTTTATTTGACCTTGGGATTTTCCTTTGTTGTATGGGGGTACTTTCTCATTATCTCACTTACTTCCCTTTCCCTCTCCTTTCTATATTTATTTTCCTTTTGGTTTCTGTTATCATGGATTAAATGCTCACAGTTTTTCCTTTAAATACTGTTAAAGAACTTGACGTGTTTGTCACTGACATCAAAAAATTTTTCTTAAAAATATCCCCAGTGCTTCCGCTGTATTTATTTAGAAACGGGTGCATCCTAACCTTGATGTCTTATTTTGCCTATTTTTATCTTTATTTATTGTTTTTTTTTTTTTTTCATTCGTCTACTTCCCGGGGCGAGTGGGATCGGTGTTGAATTTCGTTGTGGAAAGCAACTTTTCTTCGTTCACTCGGCTTTCCCAAATTGAAGGGTCAGAATACCTATTTGGCGAGAAACAAATAGGAAAATAACTAAAAGAAAGAGATAGAGAGAAAGAGGCGCCAAGAAGAAGAATAAACATTTGATTTTAATTTATTGATACTCTAGAAGGGGGGGGGGAGGGAAAAAAAAAAACATTCCAAGAATTTCATACTTGTTTTAACTCCTTGCTCACGCTCCCCGTCTTTTTCTCATGTTTTTCTACGCACTGGTGCTAGGAATAAATATATATATAAAAGGGATTTCGATCACATCCCGTTCCAATATCGGGTGGACTTGGAGAAAGTTTCACAGGAAAGAAAGTATGAAGAAAACTCCATCCCACCTAAAGGTCTGTCTTGAAGGGGAACAAGACGACACTGGGATGGCGGGGGATGCATTAACCAGATATCTCGTTCCATTCAAATTTGCATCGTGTATTGATCAAGAGCTCGCTGTTTTCAAGAAATTCTCTTTTACGACGAGGGGGAATCCGGGAACAGCAAACAGATAAGGTATAATTTGAGGGGGGAAATATCCATTCTATCCATGTGTAGGGAAATAAGGGGAAATAGAAAATAGAAAATAAAGAAAATGCTCATATCACCCCGCCATGCGTTGCAGAACAGAAATAAACAGTGAAAAGGGACCAAGATCCGAGAGAGATGTATATATATAAAAGGGAAAAAAAAAAAAAAAAAAAAAAAAACATTCACTTTTCCTTACGCCCTCGCCAAACTACCCATCACCCAGTAAATTTCATTCCCATCCCTTCAATTCTCCTCAGGAACAGTGACGCGCGTAATCCCCCTCCGCTCCACCCCCTCCCTAATCCTCGCATAGACATCCTCCATGGTCCCCACGGCCTCGACACTCACAACCTTCCCCTCCTTCTCATAATGGTGAATAACGGGCATGCTCGTCTCCTCGAAGACGCGGAACCGTTTGCGGATCGACTCGATGTTATCGTCGTCACGGCCACTGGTCTTGCCGCGCTTCAGTAGCCGCTCCAGCATGACATCCTCGGGACAGCGCAGGAATATCGTCGCCGCGGAGGGGCAGACCGTCTCCTCGAAGAAGGTTGCCTGGTCCATCTTGCGTGGGAAGCCATCGATGAGGAAACGGGCGGGCCTGCTGTCATTGGCAACGCTCGAAGAAGGGGTTTCTTCTTCTTCTTCTTCTTCTTGCTGTTTTTGTTGTTGTTGTTGCTGCTGCTGCTGCTGCTGCCGCCGCAGCGCTCGTTTCCGCTCAAGAGTTTCGGCCATGGCATTCGATAGCAGCGCCACGGTGATCTCCATGGGCACGATGATGCCCTCGCGGATATGGTGGCGGATCAGGTCGCCGTATTGCGAGCCAGCGCGCTGTTGCTCTGCACGCAGCAGATCGCCCGCGGACAGGTGGGTGAAGCCATAGTCGCGGACGAGGTTGGCAGATTGGGTGCCCTTACCGGAGCCCGGGCCACCAAGGACGAAGACGACGATGATGGCGTCCGGGGAGAATTTGGGGGTGGTGTTTGTGGAGGAGAGAGGAGGCGTGAGTTCGGCGGGAATATGGGTTGTTGAGTCTGCAGTTTCAGTTGTTGGTGTCTTCTGTGGGGACGACATTTTTCGGAGTTCGCGATTTGACGAGGAGGACGTAAGCGCCGCTGCCGATCAGGACAATTATGAAACACGGGAGGATTTTAAGTTCTGAGGACGATTTTCGGGGGGGTGTCTTTGGCGCGATGCTGGAGGTGGGGTAAGAGAGTGGTGGGCAGGAGGAAAAGGAGGCGAATGGTTGGTGGTAGTGGTAGTGTTGGAAGAGATTGAGCCGTGAAGAAGCAAGACGGGGAGCGGTGGGGAGAAGATGGGAGAGAGGGAGCGGCATTCCCTGCGTCTGGGTGGCAAGCGAATGGAAATGATAAAGAATGAGAGAAAGGGGAGGTGGATTTTGCAGAATTTGTGGTCTGGGACATTACATCTTGAGCTTTATCTCGAGGTTTCTACTCCGTAGATGGAGCTTGGAGGTCGGGGCGGAAAATAGTTGCACCGGGAAGCCAAATTGTACCCCGCTTACTAAATTGGGTGGTTGAAGATTGCCCTGGGAGAATAAAGAGCAGTCAACTGGTATCGGCATGCATTGATTGACATAGCACCAAAGCACCATTCAAAGATTGGATTATCATTGTGGGTGTGTTTTAAGACGGGGTTATCAAGGTTGAGCATCGTTGAAAAAGCTGGGTGTCTACTTTTTTTTTCAAACCCACGTTCAAGCCGCACCTCTCAGCTCCGCATGGCATCTCTCACAGCTGATGTGAACCGGTAAGCACTACCTGGGAAATATTCTATGGAAGAGCTACCTTACAAGCGAAGGATGTATCTTCTAGCAGAGGAGCAGATAACTAGTGGCTCTTGGTTGTCGGGATCGCAATCCAAAAGCCATAAATCGTCAGAGCCTCCTAGGGAGGTAGACCGACGATGCTGGCAATTACCATATCTTGACATGACAACCGGTTAAATTAAACACGGCATGATGTTGAGAAGAGTTTCCGCAGCTCGGAACGGGAAGATGATGTGTTTGTGCTTCGGGACAGTATCTATTCCTACGCCGGATTATTGTCACACTTTCTCTAATGTCCAAGGCTCGAACTCTATGGGAATCGAGTCAAGAAGGCAGGGTACCCGTCGAAGTAACGGCAGTTACCAAGACTGAAGGAAGTTTAAGCCGGAGAGAATGTGTATATATAAACCCATCACTCAAATAGAACTGAATGCTAACTGAGATCAACCAGGAAATACGCGCTTTGAAACCCACAACAAACACATTGTCTTGAAATTGCCATGGAATGTTTAAATTGAACCAATGTACTCCGTATTTTCCACCCAGATAAATTCCTAACTTTGTACGGAGTACGGAGTACTGTACAATAAACCATGGCGTCTGTCTTCCCTTCTCTGGAATAGTGCACATATTTGGAAAGGTTTCTAGAGCAGACTATCTCCGTTTGAATAATGTGTGCCCTACCAACGACTCCCGCAGGTTATTTCAAATTCTTATTGAAGAATATCCTTTCCTCGATGAAGGGAGCAAGTGACAGGTCAATAATTTAATCTATTTTGATTACCAACTTTTTTTTTTTTTTCAATGAGCCCCCCATTTAGAGATGTTGTTTTTGAATATTATAATTATTTTCGAAATAGAGCAAATTAATGAGAATTTGTCGGCCTTATCTAGTTTTTGTGCCTGTTTGTTCATTTTACTCCAAGAGCTCTAATGGTTACAGAGCTGCTGTTGTTGCACTCTTATGAGAACAAAAATGGTTTTTTTTAATATAAATGTAAACATTCTTTCATGTTAGAAGGCTATAGATAAAATATCAGTATGCTCCGTATATATGTGAATATCACATCGAGCATGGGCTCTCCTATATTTTGCGAAACGAGCTGTTTCCTGTCAAGGATGAACTATGGACAAGGAACAGAAAGAAAGAAAAAGAAAACATATAGGAATCGAAGAGGAAGAGCGTCTAAACAAAGGAACAAAGATATGTAACTCGATCACCAACACGCCCTGAGTCGCCCGTCCATCATTGGTGTCGGCTCCCCGCCCCAGCCAGCCCCATCCATGTCCATGCTCGGCCACCTTGACCACCCCGACCAGCAACATCCTCCACACGCACACAGAGAACGAGGTCACAGCAACCGAACCAAATGGGAGATATTCATTTACGGAAAGAAATATGGAAAATCAAGAACAAACTGGGTTGGGTTGGAATGTTGCGTTTTCCCTTTGTTTCTGCAATATACTCCAACATACGTACGGAGTAGTAGACAACATGTTGCCGCTCTGATGCAAGCTGCAAATGATTTCACTGGAGCTCTCATCACATCACATCTCCGTCCACCCAATCAGGCCATCTGAATGATCTGATCCGTGTTTCCCACCTCCACGGCCAAGACGAGAGACCCCCAGTATGGCCGGTGATTGGTGGCTGGGAGTAGCGTCATTGATGCAAACATCATGCATACTAGTACGGAGTACGGGGTATGGGATGGTGATTCTGCATCGGTCGATCCTTGGGTCTTGAGGCACCTTTCTGTGGGTGATTGAAGCATCCGTGCATCCGTTGCCGCCGCATCAAAGCCTGTCAAGGCTATGATCCGGGGCTGAGATTGGCCCGCCATCTCGACTAGGGTGCGCAGAAGAATGCAAAGGGCTTGAGACAGGGCCAATCCCCGCTGTGAAATGAGGGGCAGAAGAGGAACAAGATGCACGCATGTCCTGGGTGGTAAGCCATCGATCAGAGGGATTGGTGAGCGGAGAGGGGAAAATCGGATGGGGGACAATATTGTTCTCACCATGTAACCGCCAACAAGGGCAGATACATCCCAGAGCACCCTGATCGCTGGGGAAAAGGGCTGCCGGTCATCAAGAGGGTCTGTTGTTTAACCTTCACCTGCTTGTCATCCTCCTCTCTTTCTCTCGTCGTTCGACTCCTTCTTCTCCCACTCTTCGATTCTAGCCTGTCTAGACACTGTGCGAGTCAAAAAACTCTCCCCTCCAGGCGACTACTAGTCAGCCATCTGCTCAACCCGTCTGGGCGCTTAACCGCTGCTTGATCCTGATTGATCAGCAGCTCTTGGATTGCGAGTGACTGGGTGAACTGAACGTCTCTCGTCGCATTTCCCATTTCCTCTTTTCTAGCTGCTCCTTTTCCTCGTCCTCATATCGTCTCTTCTTCTCATCTCGACTTACCCATTCAACCACTCTCAATTGCTTCCCTCGCGCCGACTCACTAGCCCGCTTCTTTCTGTTTGCATTTCTTTCGATGCGGCTGGCTTCGCGATTATCATAAGCTGTGTTCTGCCCAGAACTGAACTCAGTTGATATATATACTTAATACACCACTGGAAGAAACAGTCTTGACCTTGGCATTATCGATAGCCACCAAGGTGGATCGGCGCAAGGTGCAATATTTACAAGTTTGCCAAAGACTTGCAGATATTGCTATAGCTCCAATCTTGTACTCTACGAGGAGTTTCGCTGGAGTCAATTCCTCCTAGGTATGCGGCAACTGATTGAGCTCCCTCTTCGCTTGACAACTTGACAACTTGACAATGATGAGATCCCAATTGAGACCAATGCTTACTATGTAGTTGTTTTGTGCGCAAAGAGATTGCTAATATTCCTTCTTCTAGAGCCCTCGTGGGTGAACGAAAGTCAGGGCAAAACGCCATCTGTCCTCTTCCAGCCATTTTTATCCCTCTCTCATCTTCTATAATTTTCCCATCGGAGCTGGTCTCTCTCTTCGATTCATTTACCTTCGTTGTCGTGTATCTACGATAGTCTACTAGGCTTCGACTTGACGGTCGTCCAAGGAGAAAGCAACTTTCACCGATTGACCTGAGATTCTGCTATGACACATTCGAACTCCAGTGGCGATCGTTCCGATCAGTATGAGCCAGTTTCTCCCGTAGATATTATTAACCCGACACGCTCAAAGAACGCAGCCCTATGTTTGTCCCTAAAGATCCAAACAAAAAGCCATCTGGTCCCGCTGCTCCCGCCCTAAAATCTCCTCGAACCGCTCGATTTGCAGAAGTTACAACCTTCCACTCTCCTATTGACCCACCTGGAAAATCTTCCTTCGCGGATCCACCGTCCATGTCCCAAACAAACCAACAAACCCAGGTCTCCGACCTAGGGTTTGGTTATATGGCAGACAATCAACCTGATCACGCCACAGAACAACCCCAGACGGCAGCAGGTCGAAATCCACCAAACTCCCCCTTAAAGAGCGCCCTCAAGTCTCCTGGTGCCCCTGCACGTTCGGTCTTGCTCAGTCCTACTTTTCGTGAAGAACAGATCCTTGAGCATCATGAGAGGGACACGGAGAAAGCAAATGCTAAAGATCTTGTGGGTGGCCCTCCCTCCTTTCTCAAATGAGTAATTGTTCAAACGACAAACTCACTAACAACAATACAGAAAATTAAAACACGCGTACGCCTAGCTAAGGTCTTGCTGCGTGGTGTCAGCTTTAGCTGCAGTCTGATCGTTCTTGCTTTAGTCGCCTCTACTTTCGCAATATTTAATGCCACCCGGGGCCTGGCACAAAAAAATTCCTTCACTCCTTGGGCACCAAACACTCCTGTATGGCCTCAAATCCTCTTGCTTTGTATTGCGTCCGTGTCTCTCTTGCTTAGCGTTGGTGTTATCTACGGATACTGCCGTGGTGGCCACAAACGGGCAGAAAAAGTAGCCGTTTACTACACTGTATTTGCTGTGATGCTTTTCATCGTGACGCTGGTTATGTGGGTTGTCGGTGCAGCTGTATTACAAAACAGCAGAAACTCTTCGTCAAACAAAGACATATGGGGTTGGGCTTGCAACCCAGGAACCCGCAGGGACATCTACCAAGACCAAGTTGACTATGAGCTTATCTGTCGTATGCAGGTAAGTATTTGTTCCATTCGTGATTTGACGAACAAAAATATCCAGTGTACTAATTTCCTTTCTAGGATTGGTCCCTTGTATGCTGTGTCATTGAGGTTGTCATTGAAGTGCTTGTCATCGGTATCTACGCTGTGATCTTCTACCGCTTCTACTCCAAGCGCAAGCTACGCAAATCTATGGACATGCGTGACAAAGCACGCTCCGATCTTTACCTCGCCCATTTGCGAAGCCAGTCTGCCCCAAATACCCCGGGGTTTTCAAAGTATCATCCAGGGTCGCCACCGATGAGCCCTGCCCCAAAGAAGGGAGATTACTATGCGTCCGCCGAGGAGGGCTACTCTACGCAATATGCCACCCCCCAAACCCCGGAATCCACGTACGTGGGTACGACCCGACCTTTCCAACTCCGCCCACCTCCAATCCGCGTCCAAGATGCCACGCCCAAAATTTCGCAAGATGGCTTCAACATTCCCATGTCCCCCGCCACCATCGAGCGCAGGAACGAACACGTCGATGCCGCACCCGGCGAACAGAAATACGAAAGTGTACCCATTCCCGGTTCTTACGCCATGCCTCTCACGAGCCCTTCATTCGCCCCTGAGACACGAGGCAGTGACGTGATCCCCGGGATGGCAGTGACAGCAGCAGAACGCATCGTGCCGTCTCGCAACTCTTAAGTTAACTAGAAGGGCCTGTGTGGCTATTTGTTGCGAGTGTTTCTCTGTATAGTCAGCCCTTGTACGACGAAAATTGGCGTCGGGCTGAATGAGAAATTGATATAACTGTACGATTATTTATATATTACATCTGCAAATATGCAAGGTACAAAGCCCGTTCGGAAATCTGATTCGATTGGGACATCAAAAAACAAACAAAGACAAAAACAAAAAAAAACAAAAAAAAACCAAGGGAGCACAAAAAAAGATGCCTCTCAATTCTGGTAAAAATGCCGGACGTCTTTGAGCTAATGTTTTATAAAACAACACCCGACCACATTGGATCTGGAGGAACTTTCAATCAAGTTTTCCTGTGCGACACAAACGGACCCCTCACGGGACGAAGTACGTACGTCGAACGAGGGCGTAATGGCTGGCGTTAATTCGGCTTTAATTCTTTCTTGCCATTTCCTAATATCCACTCACCCACCCGCAAACATATATATATATATGTATCCTCGATGATTAATACGTCAGCTATTTCCATTTCCTTTATTCTTTTGTTTCCAGGTTGATATGACGGCAAAAAATACGTCCCTACATCCGTTTCCAGTTCAAGACTATTATTGTCAGCGCGCGCAGCTGTGCTGTTCTTGTTGATGACGGCGGTGAACTCGGCGACAAATTTTGTCTCATCTCCATTGGTTCCGCCTTTTTTTTTTCTTTTGCCTATTTCGGCTGATTATG